GTCTACAGTAACCCTGGTATTGACCACTGTGTGACCCCCAATTTCATTGTTTTACCCCCTTTATTGATAAAAGTGCATATGCTCACAACTTCTAGATTATTAGGAGCATCAAGAGAACATGGAATGTAAATTAAAGCAGTATAAACACCATGAAGAACTCCACAGATGCTCTGTTGTAAGGTTCATGTGTCTGATGTCTCAGGAATGGGATCTAACTTTTTGAAGGTGTCTCTGTATGAAAAGATCTAAACAAGGAAACTCTATGTTGTGTCTTCAAAATGAAAACAACTTCAGTATCAAAATCAGCTTATTTTGTTTCTTTTTAGACTCTGGGAAGCTAGATTTTTATTGACAGTAATTCAGTAAGAGACAGCCATTCATAAAACACTACTGAAGATGAATGAATACCTGGGAAATGATAGTCTTAGGCATTAATTTTGCTTGTCTATAGCCAAAAGAAGACCTGAAGGCAAAGATAAAATATAAGGAGACTATGCATGTTCATACTTTATTTTAAAGTCTTAAAAATTTTGGTATGTCATAAGCATGTTCTTGCATGTGTATTTTACCATGGGTGTATATCCAGAAGGAGACCACAAGTTGACTTCAGGTGTCTTCTTCCATCACTTTCAACATTGTGTTTTCAATCATTGTCTCTCAGTGAACTTGGAACTCTCCATTTGGCAATACTGGCTGGCCAGTTAGCCCCTGGGATCCTCTTGTCTCTGCCGCTCAGTATTCAAGTTATGGACACATACCACTGCATCCCACTTTTAGGTGGGTACTGGAGATTAAAGTTTAGGGCCTCAGGCTTACACAGGAATCACTTTACCCTTTGAGTCACCACTCCTGCCCTAAATATATTTTTCATATGAGGAATGTCAGCAATTCATCTTGGATGATGAGAGATCAAAGGATTCCATCCCAGCAAGGTTGGCCCTACAGTGGTTTTATAGAGCACAATCAAAGTGACTGGATCTCAAATCTAGTGCTACCTCAGAGTCAACTACAATGATATATTGGGGGAAACATCCCCAGTTCTATGGAATCAGATTATCTTTAAGAAATGGATGGCCACATAGAGCCATAATAGATTTCCTAGATGATTCCAAAACTACCTGTCTACCCTTGGCCACAGAGGTAAGGTGTGTGTGTGGGAACCAGAGAAGCAGGTCTGGGTTTCTCAAACTTCAGTGTGCATGGGAACAGTGGGAGACCTCATTAAGAGCAAGATTTGGTTCAACTGGCCCTGCATGGGATTTGAGACTTTGCCCTTATTATAAATTCCCAGGTGAGGTCTCTGCTGCTTTTGAGTAGCAAGGACCTTGGTCTCATAGGGAAAGACTCAAATCTCCCTCAACAAATAGTTGATGGATTTCAATGATGAATAACCTGGGGACTTAATTACATCAGAAGGAAATATCACAAAACACCTCATTTTAATCCTATTTAACAAGAGCTGGGCTAAAGGTCATGAATTCCTGGTGCCAAACGACACAGGGGGTGGCAGAATGAAAGGGAACATTCCAGAATTTGGTGATGTCTGTTTCTAATACAAAAGAGCACCTAAGGACAACCAGAATCCATCAAACTCATTTCTCCCTTTTCTTTTTTTTGTGTCTGTGTCCCCATGCAATGGTAAAAATCCATGTAATGACTTACATATGAATTCATAGTTATAAATTTTGACACACATATATGTATATAGTGATATGACAATGATGCTACCATACTGACTGACAGAACAGTAATAAAAAACTGTATGCTTCTCAAGACAGATGATCTGTAGCTCATTTCTGTGCTAACTTATGAAGGTCTGACAATGCACACCTTTTGAAACAGGATGAACAGTATCCCTTACATTGGATTTCATGGCATTACTGAGTACCCCACTGGTAAAGTAAGTAAGAGGCTGAGTCATTTCCTTCACCCTGCATGATATGTTACAATTGAAACTAGGATACCATATGCTAAGTCTAAAATGCTCAGTAGGTCCAGTAGCTTTCGGTGATTCTGCCAGCTTTTAGATAGTATCCAGGCTGCAAAAAAAGGCATGAGAAAATTGTAACTACAGTCTTCATTGGAGGTTTCTGAATAGAGGGGAGATTTCATCAGACAATCATTAACTCTACTGGACAAAACAGATAGATGTCTGACATCTCTCTAACAACCTCCAAGATCCTCTTTGTTGTTTTCTTGAAAATTTCCAGCCTGCATCTGTCTCACTCATAGTGGTACTGTGTGCACAGCTTCTAATAGAGCCGATAATGAGAATATTTATTTCCTCGTCTTTTACCATCAAGACTGTCAAGAATGTCAGAACAGCTCAAGGAAGTAGATTTCAGAGATGCTGACTGCTGCCAATGGAGACAGGCACATTTCAGAAGTCTATGGCAATTTTTAATAACATTCTCTGTGGGAAGAGGGAAAGAGTTGCCCTCATCATCAGGCAACACAGCCTCCTTGCTTCATCATACTGTGCTATCATTTCTTTGTGCTATCATTACACTAGGGAAGAGAGATAGTTTGAAAATACACCACTAAGGCGAGTCGTTGGGGTCAATGTCATGTTACAGAAGCTTCATACTGTGAGGATACCCATAGCAAACCTCCCATCTTTATTTTAATCAGATTTCATGTTTAGAAATTCTAACGTGAACAAATTTCACCAGAATCAATAGACATCTCTATAGTTAGATGGTTTTCTTTATGAAGGACATACCTTCAATAGTGCAAACATATTTAATAAAGACACACATTAACATTTATTGAGTTGCAATTATGGAATAATGTGACTAAAAGGGACCTGTGAGATTAGTTGTAGGTTCTTCCCTTCTAAGACAGGAAGAGTGATGCCTAGAAATATCAAAACATTTGCAAACTTTAAAATAATTATTTGGTTCAGAAACAGGAGGACATACTGTGTGTTTAGTGCCTCTGATATTCATTTGTAAGGAAATGCATTACTAAGGAATAAACTCCTATTAGAAAGTACACACTCCAGGAACCTAACAATCCCACATCTCAGACAGACTTCGTTGGTTGCTTTCCTTCCCTACTGCTTCATAAACAGGGTGCCTGTGCTTGGACTACAAGCTTTTGAGTCGTCTATTTAATTTTTTTCCTGCTGAAAATGTTAAGTGTGACATTATTTAAAAAGGAAGTTACAGAGGTAAGGACAAGGCTCAGCTGGTAAACTGCTCATCCAACAAGGTCAAGAATCTGAGTGTGAGCTCCAAAACCCAAGTAAAACCTCTTTGATGCTGTGTACTGTCATCTCACTTCTGTGGAGGCAAAGACAGGTGGATCTCTGTGGCTCATTGTCCAGTTAGCCCAGACTGCCTGAAAATCTCCAGACCTAAGAGAAACTTTATCTCAAAACAAAACAATACAGAACAATCCAACACACTAACGTGGGAAGCTCTTGAGGAATGCCATCCAAGGTTTTGACCTATGGTGTTACACACACACACACACACACACACACACACACACACACACACAGCCTATCATATACATATAAAGGAAGATACAGCACAAAAACAACAGTAGTTTAAAATAGCAAGTTCAAAAGTTTGCTCTTTCAATCATGAATTCCAAACAGAAAATTTATGTGATTGTGATGGTAGATACCAAACTAAATCAGATCTCCTTTCTAAGAACAGAGATTATTAATCTTTGAAAAAATGATTACTTTAGTTGTACATGGATGAGTGTTTTGCCTATGTGTATGTATGTGCACCACACAAATGCCTGGCTCCTGCGGAAGCCAGAAGAGGGTTTAGATGATCTAGAACTGGAGTTAAAGAGGACTATAGGCCACGATGTGGATTCCAGGAATGGAATATGTGCTCTCTGTGAGAGAATCTTAATTGCTTATCCAACTCTCCAGCCCCTGTTGATTTTTAAGTTTGTCAATGAAAACTTTTGTTAAGGGGCTGGATAGAAAGCCCAGCTTTTTAGAACACTGGCTACTCTTACAGGGTACCCAGGTTTGATTCTCAGCACCCATACAATAGCTTAAAACAATTTATAACTCCAATTTATGGGAAGCTGATGCCCTGTTTTGATCCCAGGCAATAGGTACATTCATGGTATGCATACCCATGTTCAAGCAAAAATAATCACACACATAAAATTAACACAGAAATTCCTTTGTGAAATTCTAATATGTATCAGTACTTAACCCTAAATGTCCAGTAACTATTGTTTGGTATTTCTCAGTATTCTCCTTTAGGAACATAACTATGGTATTTCTCAGGGCATGAGGTAATTGCTTAAAATACTTGATTTTTTTCAGTGTCTTTTGCCCCTTGGTGTGATTAAACAAACTAGTATGTGAACTGTTTCCCCTTAGTTCTATTAGCTGTTACAGCAAATTATTAAACCTGGGTTAGCTTGTCAGAAGCACTAGAGATTACAAAGTTAGATGCTCCTGGCCCTGGAGGAAGAGTAGCCTTGTGGATCTAATCCTTTTATCTGTGGGGTCTGAGGCTAACTCTAGGCAGTGGCCATCAGGTTGGAACTGAGTCACTGTATAGCCACCTGGTATCCAGGGTGTTGGTAAAGTGGTTGTTGGTATAGAAAATCAAAAGAAATACACTTTGTATCAGAATCACAATGGAGACAGTTTATATATCTCTTCCTAGACCCAGAATGGGATAAAATACCTAAGCGCCATCATTTCCTTTTACCCCTGTAGTGATATAATAGATACTGACAGTTTAGCTACACTGACCAAGCAAGAGGATTCTGACTTTGACCAACTTGGATATCTTTTTCTTTGTGTCATGCACATTATGGGATGGAACATTTGTACAATCTGCTATTTTCTTATTCTAATTATGGGAGGCATTCACAACATCCCTTACTGTACATAGAAGGACTATGGGAATCTCTATAAATGACACTATTCCCTCAGCTGGTGTCAAGAGAGAAAGCATTCTGCAAGAAAAATATCAGCCAGTTAAGTGTGCACACATGGAAATATTTATCAGTACCTCCAGAATGGGGTGGCGGGCCGCACAGGAGTACCATTCCCTGGCCTCGACGGACTGACACTGTGCTTCTTGTTCTTGTCTTGAAGTTTTCAAGATCTGTTGGGAGAAATGAAGGAAAATGCATTTAAGTTTTACAGCCCTAAAATACCAAGGGAGACTATCGCTATTTTCAATAAGGTAGTTGTGCTGAAAAATATCCTGGATTGCATCTATACCAGGGAAATTCTGCTTAGCTGATTCTTTTTTTCCTTTCAGATTTTTTTTTAATATGAATTAGAAGCAAGATTGTTTTACATGACAATCCCAGTTCCCTTCTCCCTTCCATCCTTCCTTACCACCACCACCCCTAATTAAAACCCTACCTATCACATATCCTTTCTGCTCCCCCTGGATGGTGAGGCCTTCCATAGGATGTCATCAGAGTCTATCGTGTCCTTTGGGATAGGGCCTAGGCCCACCCCTGTGTGTCTTGGCTCAGGGAGTATTCCTCTATATGGACTCCCAAAGTCCACAACTATGCTAGGGATAAGTACGGAACTAGTATAGGAGGTCCCGTGGATTTCCAAGGTTTCCTGGGTCTGGATCAGTCCCCTGCTGGTATCCCAGCTTGCTTCCCAGACTGATTCTGACAAACTTTCAGTAATATTGTTTCTTACTCCTGGATTCCACTGCTAGACTGTCCAATAAAATGGGCACTGTCCATGTGTGCCTATTTAGACTCAGAATAACTAAAATTAAATGTTTAATTTAGTTGCTCTGGTAACACTAGCTAATTTTTGAGTACTCAATAATTACAGATCATACTGCAAAACACACATAAAGAACACTTTCTATCATTCTAGAAAAATCTACTAAACATTAACAACTTAGGTGAAGAACCTGAAGTTTTATGATCTCCTGTAGTAAGCATCATTTTTACAATACACATTCTTATTTCTGATGCAATACTCATTTCATAAACTTATTTTATGCAATTATAACTCTTTCTATATATTCATATATGTTGATATATACATATCATATGCAGATTCCTTACTCCCTCACTCTGATTTTTAGAGATATAGTCCCCAGATACAATACAAACTGTCCATACCTCACAATCTCAAACACACTATTCTTCAGCAACATGCTTCTAAGTGTTGGCATTACCAACTGTTAGATTTCTGCTGCAGCTATTGGTGGAGAAAAAGGAAGCTACAAATGAACAACCCACCATGGAGTTTATTGATGGGGATTGGGGGATGGGGTTGAATTGTGAGCCAACCCAAGGAAAGGCAGAGAGAGAGAAGGAGGGGAGGCTGGACCTTTTAAAGAGAAGACCACGCATGTGCACTGAGGCTTCACAAATGCACAGAGTCCTCACACAGGCCATAATGCGTGGCAGGTGATGTGGTGATGACGTAGCACGTTTCCTGTGCATGTCTGCCCATTGTTAGGGGAGCAGGGTCAGCCAGATGTAAGTCCTAACACCAACTTTATTCTTCGATGTACACATTATGTGTGTATGTGCATGTGCATATATAGGTACAGTATAAACAGACATATTTACAAACAGATTATTTTGAGTTCATGCCTGTTTTTAAATATTGATAAGGGGCTGATTATCATTCTTTTGGGGAGAAACTTCTATCTCTACAAGGAGGAGAGAGAAGGCATTTATAGCTTAAAGGTCACAACTAGAAAAAACAACTAGTTTCAAGTAAATAATGAGTGATATAAAATACATATACTAAAGTGGTAGACTTTATTCAATAGAGCATTTTAACCTCCTACCCACACAGCATAAATCCTCCTAATAATGAGTATAGAAAAATTTATTTCTTCATTTTTTCCCTCCTGTCTGAATCATTTGATATAAAAGGCCATTTTTGATTTCAGATTTTTTTCTGTCTCCAGTATGTCATATAGTGTTACAAGTCATGTGGTTATACCCACTGGGTTGAAATAACATTGACTTTTTCCTTGGTCATTTTAATGGCTGCTTTTGCAATGGTAAGATTATCTTATGAAAGATGAGCCACAATTACATAACAATTATAGAAGTTCAGGATCATTACTGTCTATACTTACTATGAAATTTGTGAGTGACATGGTCACATGAGGCTGGACAACCATTCCACAATTACAAATAGACATGTTCCACACACAGTTTATTTTCAGGGAAAGTTTAGGATACATAAAAAGTATGCACAATTGAATACCCCAACTATCATCATAGAGCCTTTATCCAGAAACTGATGGAACTAGATGAAGAAATCCACAGCCCAGCACCAGGCCAAACTCCAGGAATAGAGATGAAGTGAGGGAGAAGGGAATACGTGAGCAAGGGAGGTCAAGATCATGTTGAAGAAATCTATAGAGACAGCTGAACCAAGTTCATGGAAACTCACAAAAATAACTCTGACATACCATCTCACACCTGTTAGAATGGCTAAAATAAAAAAAAAAAAAAAACACCAATGATGGTTTATGCTGAAGAGGATGTTGAGATAGGGGAACACTCCTCCACTGCTGGTGGGAGTGCCAGCTTGTACAGCCACTTTGGAAATCAATATGGCAACTCCTCAGGAAAATGGGAATCAGTCTACCACAAGATCCAGCAATTTGACTCTTAGACATATACCCAAAAGAAGCACATTCACACAACAAGGACATCTGTTCAACAATGTTTGTAGCAGCATTATTTGTAATAGCCAGAACCTAGAAGCAATGTAGATGCCCCTCAACTGAAGAATGGATAGAGAAAATGTGGTACATTTACACAATGGAGTACTACTTAGCAAAAAAAAAATGGAATCTTGAAATTTTCAGGAAAAAGAATGGAACTAGAAGAAACCATTCTGAGCAAGGTAACGCAATCACAAAAAGGCAAATGTGGTATGTTCTCAATCATATGTGGATTTTAGACATAGAATAAAGGATTACCAGCCTACAATCCACACTGTCACAGAAGCTAGTAAACAAGGAGGACCCTAAGAGAGACAAACATGGTCCCCTGGAGAAGGGGAAAGAGTCAAGATCTCCTGAGCAAATTGGGAGCAAAACAGAAGCGGGGAGGGAGCTAGGAGGATGAGAAGAGTAGAAGAGGAGGGGTGAGGAGGACATGAGGGAGCAGAAAGGTTGAGTCACGGGAAGAATAGAAGAAAACAAGAAAGGAGATGCCATAATGGAGGGAGCTATTTTAGGTTTACAGAGAAATCAGGCACTAGGGAAAGGTCTGGAGATCTACAAAGATGACACCAACTAACAATCTAAGCAACAAAGGAGAGTCTACCTTAAATGCCCTCCCCTGATAATGAGATTGATGTCTGTCTTATATATGCCATCCTATAGCCTTCATCCAGCAGCTGGTGGAAGTAGAAGCAGACACCCACAACTAATCACTGAATTGAACTGGAATCCAGTTGCAGAGAAGAACAAGTGATGGGCAAAGTGGTCCAGACCAGCTGGTGAAACCCACAGAAAAGCTGATCTTAACAAATGGGGAGCTCTTGGTCTCCAGAATGATAGCTGAGATGCCAGCACAGGACTGATCCAGTTCCCAGGAACGTGGGTTTCAGCAAGGAGACGTCGTAAATCTACGGGACCTCCTGTAGTAGTTCAGTACTTATCCCTAGCATAGGTGTGGATTATGGGAACCCAATCCACATACAGGGATACTCCCTGAACCAAGACACTCGGGGGTGGGCCTAGTCCCTATCCCAAAGGATATGATAGACTCTGATGACCCCCAATGGACGTCCTCACCCTCCCTGGGGAGCAGAAAGTATATGTGATTGTAGGGTTTTAGTTGGGGGTGGTAGGGGAGGAGGGGAGGGAGAGGGAACTGGGGTTGGAATGTAAAACATTCTCATTTGTAATTCAAGTAAAAAAAGAAATTAAAAAATAAGTATGTAAGCAAGGATAGAATATTGCAAAACTAACAAACTACTGCTGGAAAAATATTTGAAGATTAGTGTTGTTTTTTACTTGTGAGACATGGTAGTTAAAATAAAGTGATTTATATTTATATTTGTATTTTTAAGACAGGGTTTCTCTGTGCATCCTTGGTTGCTCTGTAACTCACTATGTAGATCAGGCAGGTCTCAAAATCAAAGATTCTTCTGCCTCTGCCTCCCAAATTCTGGGACTATAGGTAGGCACCACCCCTGCCCTGCTATGACTTTTATTTAAAAATACAAATCTTTATTTTAATGTATGTCTTAAAAAAAGAAAAGTAAATAAAATCTTTGAAAAATGGCAAAGAACCAAAAGAAACACACAATGTTCAAGTGTCCCACTTGAGCTTAAAAAAATGAAACTCAGACTTCTCCCATTTTATTTTGTGAATGCTATCCAGTTTTACAGTATTTGAATGCTCAGATTATTGTATATGCATATGATATTTGAGGAAATGTTTAGAAATATCTGTTTGTAGTTAATTAGACAGTATTCCATGTGGCAGAATTTTCCTACTTTTAATGGAAAAGCTGTATTTGGACATATCTGAGTTTGGGAATCATTTCTGCCTCTTACTAGTTGTGCTAATCTTGGACATATCTTAATTTTATGACATGTAAGCAGAGAATTGTATGTGCTTTGTTTTAAATTAAGAATCATGGCAAAGAACCAAAAGTTAAGTGAAATAGCAAAGCACCAAACCTTTTATGCAATAAGGTTGGTCTTTAGTATATCCCATGGAAAAATTCTCTAAGCATGTCATCTAAAAAAAAGTATCCAAGTTGCAATAAACATCAGAGTGAGCTGTGGATGCTAAGAAAAATAAATGATACATATGTCCATATATAAGAGATTGACAGATCTTGAATTGATATTTTCAAATATCATCACCAAACCACAGTCTAACCATTAGCTAGTAACACTGTAATTTTCTATGTCAAAAGGCTGTGTATATGAATTAACAATTTTTATGCTTGTACACTCATGTCCAAGCTTTTTGCTGGCAATATCTATAACCCATATACTAAAATATGAATTATATATTATAAATATAAAATATACAATTTTCAGTACTAAATATATTTTTTACATACTTTATCTATCACTAAAACAAAAAAAATGACAGAGTTAGAGTCAAGCTCCACAGATTTCACTCC